CACTTTCCAGATTGCGACGCGCTTGTTCCTCTTGCGCAGCCTCGCGGAGGGACAGGCTGTCCGCCAGCCGTTGCGCCGCGGCCTCGGCCTCCTCGAGAGCTCGCTCCCGCTCGGTGAGCGCGTCCTCGCGGAGGCGGAGCGCGGACTCTTCTTCAGCACAGGCAGCTTCGTGCACCGCCAGTGTGACCTCCCGAATAGCAACGGCGACCTCGCGATCCGCCAGGTCCCTCTCCACGGCGCAGGCACGCTCTTCCAGCGCCATGGCACGGGCCTCAAGGGCTTCTTCGCGCCGCCGGGATGCCACCTCGGTCTCCGCCGCCCGCCGTTCTCGGGCAGCGGCAGCGTCAAGGACCCCTCGGGCGGCGTCGAGTTTTTTCCCTAGCTCCGCCTCCCAGCTCCCGTATTGAAGGCGGAGGGTGTCCTGCGCCTCGTTCATCACGGTGGTGGCGATGAGGACAGCCCCCCGCTCCTCCTCCACCTCCTTGGCGATCTCCCCCAGCACCTTCCGACGGGCTTCGAGCTCTGAGACGTGCCGGCGGTGTGCCTTGCGGCCCACCTCCACCATGGCCTCCACCGAGCGTCGCCCCTCTTCGACACGCGCCCATGCGGCGTCGAGCTCCGCCCGCTCTGCTTGCAGGGCCTCCACCTGGGCACTTAACCCGTCCAACACCGTGGTGTTTGCGACGGCCAAAGCCTGCAGAAGGGGTTCTGCGCTCAGTGGAGCAACGGAAGGCGTGGGGAAGAGCCGCCTCGAAGAGGATGCCGCGCGGCTTGGCCCGCCGATGGACGTGCCGGACTCGGGGATGTCCCCCGGACCTGGTTTGTCCTGAGCGTCGCACGAGGGAGTGGGCCCAAGCGATGCGCCCGCGGCCTCGTCACGAGTTGCCTCGGAAGTCGTCGTCGCCTCGGCCTGGCGAAGTCTGGCCTCCTCCCGAGCGGCTTCTTCAGCTTGGCGAGCTCGGACGGCCACCTGGGCAACTTCCTCGGCTTCTCGAAGGCGATCCACGGCCTCTTGCCGGTCAGTTTCACGGGTCGCCTCGGAGGATGTCGTCGCCTCGGCCTGGCGGAGTCCGGCCTCCTCCCGAGCGGCTTCCTCGGTCTGGCGAGCCCGGGCGGCCTCCCGAGCGGCCTCCTCGGCTTCCCGAAGGCGATCCGCAGCTTCTCGCCGGTCAGATTCCCGCCTCCGGGCCTCTGTGGTCGCCGGGTCCTCGGCCTCAGACTGGCCGGACTTGGAATGGCGGGAGGGACGCGACGGGATCTCGCTGAAACAGAAGAAAGACCAGAAGACAAACAAGATGGATGAGTGAAAACTCGCGTTGAGAGAATGAATACGGCCACGATGGGAGTGGGACGAACCTGCGAGGGGGTCGGTTAAACGACCACCTTGGAGGGGAAATGAGGTTTCCACGGGATGGTTCTGTCCCCCCCATCTTGCGGAGCCGTTTCTTCTTCCGCTCCCCCTCGGGCTGCGACGTCGGCATGGCCCCCTCCGGGCGCCTGCTGCTGGCACGCGCCGCCCCGCCCCCTCGGGGAGGAGATGGGGGAGGGGTTCCTTCCTGCTTCCTCTTCCCCCGGGCGTCGGCAGGGCGGCCGCTCCCCGGGCCCCCGTCGCGGGGCCCAGAAGCACGACCCCCTCCCGGGGTAGATTGTTCCCCCCTGCGGCTCCCGCCCGCGCCATCGTGGCCTCGAGGAGCCCGCTCCTCCGACGCCCCGACCGCCTGCATGATGGTCAGGATGGAGGCGCGGTCTGGATCGCTGCAGAGGGGGAGGACTCCTTGAGGAATGAGGGATGCCTCCACGGAGCTGAGATTCAGCACCCGTTGGACCACTATCTTGAAGTCCTCAGGAGCCCAGTCCCATCTGACCCCCTGGTGGGTCCTCATACAGTCCTCGGACCCGGTGTACTCCCAGGCGCCCCGGGCGCGCCGCTGGAGTGGCGCGATCCGGCGACGAAGATAGTCGCCAAACACCATGGCCCCTGTGAGCCCCTGGGATCGCAGGCCCGCCAGGCGGTCGAGGACGGCGTCGTAGCCATCTCCCAGATCTACCGGCGCCCGCCAGTTGGAGGCCTGCGCTGGAGGCTGGCTCGAAAGTCGGAGGCGCGCTTCGTCGGCGAGGGGGGTGTAGAACCAGTCGCTCTTCCAGTCATCCCACTTCTTGCGGAGGACGCAGGGAATGTAGCGGTTCAGCACCGGCCCCCGCGGCTGGAAGTAGCAACCACCAACCACCGACGGCGGCGACACCGGCTGTACGGTGAAGAACCACCGGAACAGCCGAAGGGATGGGCGCACCCCGATGAACATCTCGCACAGGTGCGCGAAGATGGCCAATGTCATTACCGCGTTGGGGGTGAGGTGCGCCATCTGGAGATCGTAAAACTCCAGAACATCCATGAAGAAAGAAGAAAATGGCGGAACCAGCCCTGCCATAGCAAAAGGGAGGAAGAAGACGGACCGCCCCGGGTAGCGTGGCGCCGGGCATCCCTCGCCCAGCGAGACTATCTCCCGGCCGGTGGCAGATTCCGGCATGAAGCGGCGCGGCAGCCCGGCCTGTCTCTCGCTCACGATGCGGGAAGGCAGCAGCACGCTACCGTCAAGCGGAGTGGAGCCCCGTGCCATGATGCCGGAAGAAGAGATGTTTGAGAGCGAGCGCGTGTGGCGAAGGTAGGGCACAGGAAACAAGGAGTTAGGGCGCAAGCGGCGAAGACAAGGGGAATAATGGCGAGAGGAAGGAAGCAAATCTCTTCCTCGGCGACTTTATACCCTTGCCAACGCTGTGCCCGGCTCCTCGTTTCTCGCGCCCACTATCTTGCCCCCTCGTTTCTCGCGCCCACGCTTCCACTAATCCCATTCGCCCGTTTGCGGTGCATGAGGTGGATATGCGGCTGTGGCAGTCGAGATGGAACATCTCGTGCGCGCGTTAATTACGCTCGCCGACCGAAGCGCCATCACCATATCTCTAGGAAAAACGAACCGGCTTGTCCCGATTTTTGGACCGGCCCCACCTGTCACCAGGCCTTAGGAAGTGGCGTCACGCCCGACCGCTTCCCTCGAGGAGGGCGATCGCCCTGGCATAACGCCGGGGGCTACTGTCGGTGACATGGGACCGGGAGTATCATGACTTAGAGACTTGAGGCAGACACGATCACCCACGTGGCCTAACCCCCTCGGGGGGGGTCGGGCCCGAGGGTGATACGGCCGCCCTTCTCTTTGTCTCCCCGAGGGGTCGGACCGCTCCCGTCTCGGCCCCGAGGGTCGAGGCGCCCCGACCCCTTGTGGGTTTTGCGCCGCGTATATGGGGTAGGTGAGCATAGCGGGGCTCACCTAACCACATTTATTGCGGTTTGGACGAGCGCGTCACGCCGCATGTAACGCAGTGCAGCGCGCTCGTTTATCCGGTCAGTGACCAGTCACAGACCGATCAGATCGTGGGTTAGGTGGCGACAGGCGGTCTGACGCACGCCTCGCCCCATCCCGTCAGGATGAGAGCCTCCAAGCACTCGTCCCTAGCCGGAGCCGGCGTGTTAGCTCCTGGAGATGGCACGTTGGTCCCGGTCAGATATATACCAGGCTTCATCCTAACCATTACAAGCAAGACATTGTATGAAGAGGGGCGAACATGCAGATTGATAAACTGACGCGTGGTGGACAAGAATGACCGATTTGTGACCGGTCTGACACTGGTCATGTCGTCAGCAGACAGCCATGTTCCCACGTCGCGCCTGCTTCCGGCGGAAGTGGAGGTAGGTATGGGCCGTCCCATCAGAAGGTCATTCGGACGGCAACCATACAAGTCTCCGTCTGTTTATGAAAAGATAGGATAAGTCCCCACAAAAAAGAGAGAGATGGTGCATGTGGTATCCCCTTGAGGTATAAAAGGAGGACCTTGCCCACTTAGAGGAGGGATTTTTTTTGGATGATTTTAGAGGGGATCGAGAACGATCAGAGAGGGAGAGAGTAAGAGCTCTCTGGTTCTCCAGCTCTTTTGTAGCTTCTTCATACATAGATCCACCAAAACACAGGAGTAGGGTATTACGCTTCTCAGCGGCCCGAACCTGTATACATCGCCCGTGTCTTGTGTGTTTCCATTCTCGCGAACCTTCCACACACACCGAGAGCTTAGAATCTCACCCAGGGCCCCCGGCCGAACCGGCAAAGGGGGGCCTGCACGGTCTCCCGGTGAGGAGCCCCACGCTCCGTCAGAGTAGTAACAAACCATGTCAATTTATCGTATCCTCAGTTTAGTTACTAGTCCAGCTTTCACATCCTAGGTACACCGAACAATTTAGTCGTTGGTACTTACCATCAATGATCAGTCCCACTGTTAATCAGATGATTTGATGCTGCAATCATACCAGGATAGCAATAATACTAGCACGGACGAGATTCCCCTTTCTTCAGGCCTCAAGACACAAGCAATGCAACGACGGCGACGTCGTCTCCACCCTCCTCGTCTTTAGTCCCTCTCTTCTCCGACGCCGGCATCACCACCGGCGGAAAGGCTACAAGTGGATCAACTCATAAACCAATAGCCGTTGACGATAAGATTATAATTAGATCAATCCATAAACCTATCGACAATATGAACATAAGTGGATCAATCTATAAACCCATGAACAGACCAAATAAACGGATAACCCTGCCGCCTTAGCCGGCGAACAACACCGTGTCATGGCAGCATCAGTCAAGCAATTGTTTGGCCCCAATCAGATTCAGAAGCAGGCAGAGATTTCTTTCTGCAAAACTGGTCGCTTTCATTTCATGAGTCAGAGTCTACTCCTGCCTTTATCAAACCAGATCATCCTCCCTGCTGCTTTTTTGGTATTCAAATCAGATCGTGCTGGCTTACGTCGCAACACGCGAGAAAAGGCAGGGTTTTTCAAAAGATTAGATCATCAGTACCCTGGACCAAAAAGTTCAGATACGAAAAACAATTAACGTATGGAGTAGATCAAATTAGCTGATGACTGAAGATTCACAGCCATAAGCGAAAACCACATCTGAAAGAAACCTGTCAATGCGACAGGTAAAAAGTTCAGAATATACTAATAATCGCGACCAAATTTTCAATTTGTAGGTCAAATACAGTGTGTCCCAATGGCGTTGTCCGCAGCAATCGCCAAACAAATAGCAAGCATGACTGGCTTTTGAATGAGCTGAGATGCATATATCAAAAGCAAACTGCATCTTTGCCAGCAACATCAAAAGACAGCTCACGCTTCGTATCAGACCCGAATTTGAAGGTTGGGGCTGCTTCTTCTGCACTGTGGGAACTGCTCGGCAAGTCAAAGGAGAAAACAAGTTTACCGGTAGTGCTTGATGAACCAAAGGTAAACTTGGGTATATCTGCACCGTCAGCTGACGGGATACTTGGTGGCTGTGACAGAGTCGGAGTAGGTGGTGGCTCAGGAAGAGACATTGAGGTTTTTGGAACAGGAAATGTGAAGGCCAAACCATTGCCTGTGCTTTTATCCAAGACCTGAGCAGCTGATGTGGTTGCCGAGTCAGATTCTGAAGTATGTTGTGAAGAGGGCATTGACTTGGTCCCACTATTCTCTATCTTTGGACTAGATTCCACAGCATTGGAGCTGCTTGGAGGAGCCAGAACCTTAACAAAAGTAATTAGATCAAGGTGATTAAAGAATTCCACATTTAATGCTATATGCATCTGCTAAGTAATTTGTTTAATCAGAAACAAACATAAATATGGAATCACAGAAGAATATATAATGAGAATTGAAAACATGTTTGGCATTGCACTAGTTTTCCAGTAATTCAATCTTAGTTCACATAACCAAGACTTTGTGTTCAATTAAATATATAGTAACCATTGGCAACAGTAAACTAAGGATCTCCTATTTCAAACTCAATATATGTATTTTAACAAATAGGACCTGAGCAGAATATACTAGAGAAGAAAGAGATAAATATACCTTATTTGCATCTGAAATTTCCTGTTGAGCACTACCACTATCGTTGATGCTGCTATGTCTATGACTATCAGTAGCAGGCCCATTATGCTGGATGTTGGTGACAACAGAGGAAGTAGTTCTCTTTGCTGAAGTCCACCTTAGCTCTAGTGGCTTTGCTGTAGGAGAAGGAATAGTTCTCTCTAGATGCTGGAGTATTTTGTGAGCTGTTTTGCTTGACTTGGGATGAACAGATAAAGCCGCAGATTTGGAATGGGGCATATTGTCTACCATTGAAACAAACCCGAGCGATGAACCACTTTCAGTGGTGCCTTCGCCATGATGTCCTTGAAGGGCGGATCCATCATTCTTCTTAGAAGCAGAACATTTCTTTGCAAATAAGGGAGTAGTTGCACCAACAGTATCTCCATATGCTTCTTTGGAATATGTTGTTGACGGTTGCGCCCCAAGAACAGCACCAAGAGGTGCTGTTTTATCCTCAAATATTGCCTACATTTTGAACAGGGGGATGAGGGCAGGAGAAACTGTGTATTATACGATTGCAGGTTGTGATAGAAAAAAAGGTTCATTTACTGACACCTCAGAAGTCAGGTAATCACCACATGACCACAACAGTTGTAAGATATAGCAAACAATTACGTATCTTACTCTCAGTTGTAACTAGCAAATCACAGTTCAAATCTCAGTTGCATGAACTACAGGCATGTATTTTATATCAAAATCTACGGATATTTAAACCTTTGGAAGGAAGGATGGTGTCACTAATCCACATTAGGAGATAAGTTGAATAGCAACAATCAATGTGCTCACAACAGTTTCAACATGAAATGCAGCTATCTGGGCTTCATTCTGCTGAGGCTACTAAATAGTTTGGATGTTCGGTCTGAGTGGACCAGTATGAGTTCATCTTAACCCAACTCGGCAGTGTGAACTAAAACCTTCTACTTCGGTTTGAGGAATGGAATGAGTATGTATATCAACACCCCACTCCATATGGCTACAATGGAAGGTTTGAAACAATTTCGTGTCAACAACAGAAAATATAGATGGTTGGCAAAAGGAAGCATATGTGAGGTTATGCTTCAAAGAACACTATGAAATAAACATATATATCATGGTGATAGTGAAGAAACATTAACTTGAATGACAATACCTTACTTCCAACAGGGAAAGGAGATGAAAATTGTGGCTTTCCAGATGAGTTATTATAGGCATCACGGGATCCTGTGTACTGTAAACAGATAATAAATGAACGGTAAATGTATAGCCCTCGAATATGAGATTTCAATGTTTCTTTCTAGTTGCAGTGTTACAGTGAAGCTCATGAGACATGCAGATATCACACACAAAATAAAATACAATCATAAGAAAGTTGTGTATACCTTGTTAGATCTTGGGAAAACTGAGCCAATATAAGTTGTGCGAGAGGAAGTTGGAGGCAGAGTTCTTCCTTTATTGCTCTGTGGTGTAAGATAATTCGGATAGTTTCGGACAACAGATCCTGGCCAGCATACAGGAGAATCTGTAGCTATTTTAGGGAAAACCTTTGAGGATGAATTCTCTACCTCAACTCCATGACTCAAAGCTCTGAATTTCCTCTTTTGAGACTCTTGTACAGATGCTGAGGTCTGTGCTTCCATATAGGCTTTTGCAAGTTCAATTGGTGATGAGGCAACATCAAGCACCTAACATGCCATTAAAAGAAAGTGATCAAATCAGCCATAAGTCTATAGATCAGGCAAGGGAGGAAAGAAATTGGTATTTCTTAAACATTGTGAATAATTTTTGCTCATGCGTGTTCTTACCAGTATTTAATTACACAATTAAGAGTAAATAACAACTGCAGAATAATTCAGGAAACATGGATGCGTATAATCAAATTTCTAAACCATCCAAACCATAATTCACATCCCATAGAAATAACAAGGAAAAATAGCCTCCACAAATGCTTGAGAACATTGTTTGTACAGAAACAAAAAGATGTTGAAATTGCACAGATATGAATGTCTTACATTTGATGGTACAAAGACTTCAGTCCCACAAGGTGATCGAACATCAATCTCTTTTGCAGGAGTGGACCATCTGTCTGAAAACGGAATGGCTTCGAAACCTTTAGTGGAAGACCTTGGAACTCTCTGATATTCATTAAAATGATCAGGAGTCCTTGAGCGCATAATCTCTATAAGGCGTTCTGTTTCATCCCTGTAAGAGCAACATGATGCACATTTAACTATATTTCAAATTTCAATTATCAAAAGCAAAAAAATTAAGTGCTTCCAGCCAATAAGATTTAGGTCAAACACAAGATAACAAATTGTCATCTTACTTTGCAAACGATTTTCAAGCAGTTCAGCAAACTATGTTATAAATTTTAAATAAAATCAGAACAAAGCTTTAGAGGTGTAAAAGAACCTGCCTAGAAAAATGTTTCTGTTTGATGATATTCTCAATTTCAGCGAGACCGCTGCCATCGTTTTGATTTCTACAATCACCTTCCTGGAGCAGGCTGGCTTTATTATCCAGGGCTGTAGAATTGGTGTTCCATTCTATAGAATGCCTATGTGTCTGCATTTTTGGATCAAAGAGAAAGATATCAAAAGCTGCCAACAGATAATAATTTATGTTGTAAACATGCTAACAGAAACAGACTAAGGGAGGAGTAAATGTAGTATTGCCCTTGCAAACTAAAGTTCCGACAATTTGAACAAAAGCTTCTGGCAGTTCTCAACAAATACACTAAGCTCAAAAGAGAAATATGTTCATCATCATTTAGCCACAACAGTATATGGACTTGAAAGGATTAGTTCACTAAACCAATGAGCAGATGAGGGAAGTGGGAAATGGACTCTCCTCAAATGGCTGGTGAGACAGCGGAAATATATAAGAGCATCATGTTCCTTAACTGTGCTCTTAACTGAAAAGCAGTTTAAACTTAGGTGTGATGTTACATTTTCTACTATACTACTGAAGTACTGATACTGATACAGCAGGTCATTTTGTAAATCACTAATATTTAACACGATCTACATTCTCCTTGCTGCTGCAGCATTTCTTGGATTATCTCATTATATGACAAATAAGCTCTATATGCAGTACACCTGTAAGTTTACAGTACGAGCCAGAAAGCAATCAATGCGTTTAAGATTCAAGAAAAAGGAACTGCACTTACTTCATTGGTTACTTCCAGCGATTCACGCCAGGCCATTTGATTATCGTCTGCAGACATTAGAAACACACAAAAGGGTAATCCACGTCAAAACATGGACATGGTTTGCACTTTGCACAGACAAAAAATAACGAACTGGATCACAATGTGGATGAAACAAACAGAAATAGCTTCTTCTATATCTATACCAAAGTAGAAAAACAAACAACTTGGCTGGTGTACAGGAGAAACAGAAGTACATATGAGCTAACAATAATACCCATTGGCGATGATTCTCAAAAGCTACTCCACTTGATTCATGCCCAACTACGCAATGCCAACCTTGTAACAGAGGATCTGGATCCCCGAGACACCAACCATTATGCCCATTCCATAGAGCAAAAACATCCCAAACCACATAAGATGATTCACACACCAACAAATTAGTTACCGAAGCTGCACGTCCTCTCAATAAGTTGCATCATAGACTTCTGCTGTGCCTGTGGCACACACGGCACTAAACCCTAGATTAATGCATCGGCAAGAGGCAATCTCGAGCAAGTTCCCATTCACTACCCAACCGCACCGATCTTAAACCCTAACAAGCCCCAACTCAAAAACGCGAGCCAGTGGCAATCGCATCCGCCTCCCCTCCCCCTCACCCCCCCACCCTTGATTCCTCTCTAGTCCTAGGAATGGCACGGCTGGCCCAATCGCATCCGCGAAACAACCACGGAGCAGAAGGAGATGTGGGTTGGGGGATTACCGGAGGCGGCGGCGGCGGCGGCGGCGTGGTCTTGGGCCACGGAGGGGAAGATCCTGGAGGCCACGGGCAGCGTGGGGAGCAACCGGCGGGGGGCGGCCGTCCCGTAGGGCGACGCGCGGTTCAGCCCGCGACGGGGAGGCCGCCTCGAGGGCCCCCCCGCGCCGCCGACGCCGTAGCCGCCCGCCGCGTCCTCCCCCTCCGCCGCCGCCGCCGCGGCGGGCGACTGCCACCGCCTCCCGCCGTCCATCATCGCCGATCCCTCCTCGCCGGTGCTCGGCTCGATCTCTCCCCGTCGCTCGCTGGGCTTTTGGGCTGTGCGTGCGGCGCCTCGGGTTTGGGTTTTGCGGGGGAGCCTGTGAATATGATTGGTATAGTTGGCCTAAAAGGCCCGCAGCCCGATGGCCCTGCCCACGGCATAGAGATTTGGCCCGACCTAAGCACGGCACGGCCTACACCCTCCATCCCAAATAAAGATAAACCCTGATGTCCAGATTCATAGCCAGAGTTTGTCCTTTTTTAGGACGGAGGGAGTAACTGTTATCAGGTCCGTGCTGGCTCAGCCTGACTGTTAGGCTGTGTCTAGGTTCAGTGCTTAGCACGACGTGCTGGTCCGGCACGGTTTGGTCCAACAATTAGGTTGGCAAAATAGAGTTATTTTAAGGAGATTATGGTGGGCTTGTCGCCGGCACGGCCCGACGTGTCGGTCGGGTTGTGCCGACCCGACTAATCTTACTCCCCATCTCAAAACACAGAAACTTAGGATTGAACGTATATTTTAGTATTGAATGTTTTCTAGGCTTTTCATATTCGTATTATATTGTATTTGGCTATTTCTTTAGCTTGGGAAAAGTGGAGTACAAAAGTATTATTGGTTCGGCTCAGAGTTTACTACAATGGAAAACTTTATGCACCAACTTGATTTGATTTGTCGATCCGTATCAAACTTTATACACAAATTACATAATTCGTGAAGTTACTCGTGTGACCACAGTGCATCTCTACTAACTAAAATTAGCCTATTATTTTGCACCCTTTATTTTCAGCTATGAAAATTGACCTCTCCTCATTACAATTCAAACTTCAGCCAATAGGATTGTAGGAAGCTCTTGTTTGAGGATTCAAATAAACTTCTACTAGAGAATTAATGTAGAATCTCAACGGTACGTAATTCCTATGCTTCTCAAGCAAGAAATAGGAAAATGTTTTGTATCGGCAATGTAGTGCTCTGAGGCCCAAAAAAAGGGGGGGGTAAATGTTGTTGAAGTAGGAATGTGATGCCTTTGTGAGGACCATAAGTGGAGCATGGAACTAAAGGGATAGGTTAAGAAAGTGAGGAAAAAATGCAAAAAAAAAACACCTCTTAAGTTATTTGAACTTTGACATTTCACCTTATAAGTTATTTTGTTGCAAATGTTTACCTTCTAATTAGTTTTTTTTTTTGCAAAAACCACCATAATGTGCACATGCTTAACCAAATCAACATATTTTCATACATTGTAAGTCGTAATGTGGTATTTATCAAAATTAAATACTTCTAGGAGTATAGTCTTCCACTTTTCTTGGAGATTTCACAAATAGAATTGTTGATAAGAGTGTAAACATCATCGCACTGAGTTTTGCTATATGTGAAAAAAATCAATGAAACATAAAAATAAATATAATGCAAGCACTTAACAAGATTGACTTGGCTAACTTATCATGTGGTGGCTCTACATCAGCGATAATGGGATAATTTGGTTAAGCGGCACTTACTCCTGCTAGATATACCTGACTCCCCTATACAAAATTATTGATTTCCACAATCTAGTTCCTTAATGTCTACAATAATCTAAGTAGCCTAGTAGAGATCGAAGCCATGTGCACTACCACTCTTTGTCACAGCCTCCCTCACGCTATTGTATAGTCCTTTCCTCCTCCTATGGCTTTGCCAAAGGTGAGAGAGGAGGGACATGTTTCTTAGTAGTCTCTATTTTTAGGGTTTTCTTAATGTTGTCTTTAGAGGATTAGATGAATCCGATTTATTTTAGGTTTCTTACATGATATTCATGTAGACTTGTTTAGAGTTGTTTGCTTTTTTTCTCTTTCTCTCTTTGCTAGTAGCTACCCTTCCTAAGGTCATTGGTGGAAAGCCTAGAAAGGATTGTCTGTCATGTTGATGATCAAATCGATTGTGCCAACTTTAGGATCCGGGTTGTCAACTTGTTTGGTGACATTGGTTTTTTGTTTTGTCTAAAGAAGAGAAATGGTGGTAGATACCCGTTCATCTAATTTTGTGTGTGTTAGCTGTGGTTGCGCTCGTTTGCACTTATCTCCTTTGACATTCGAAGATGCAAAGTCTCTCTATTCTACCCGTAGTAATAGGATGCATCTCATCCGATCTTAGGTTTTTATATTTTGGGATAGATATAATATTTAAGATAAGATATGTTTCTTGAAACCGAAACTCTAAAATCATCCCCATTAGCATAAAGCTGCTTCATCATCATACTCATTCATTCCCACACATGACTAAATAGTTGAAGTCTTCCCTTATTTAGCTCCTATCACATTTGTTTTAGTTAATGTGTTCTTACTTGTGCATTACGCACGTTATTAATGCACTTGGTTTGTGCCTATCTCATCTTAACAAGATGTCACCATCACGGAGAATTAGGGCAAGTACTATAAGCCTCTGATCACTAATTCTAATATGCCATGTAGACTCATATGATGATATAGAGGGGAGAAGAGAAGAGAGAGAGAGAGAGAGAGAGGAGCAGCCGCCACTCATGCAAGAGGCAACCTCCGCACAAATTTCAAGAAATGAGAAAGAAAGAGAGAAGTGGATTGGTAGCAAGTGTATTGGGTGTAGTGTAAGTAGATGCAATCTATTGTATGTATTACCTATAAATTAATGTGTGGATGATTTGGACAAAATTAGATGTGACCACTTCCTCCATTATAAAACTTGCCCTTATGCTCAGGAAATTAATTTTGATAGGTACTACATGAAGTATTATCACCAAGAAGTATTAAATTAAAAACATGAGTATAAAGTCCAAATGTTGATAGAAGCACAATTAAAATCACTTTAGTTGATTATTGCCAGTTTCGTTCTAGCCAAGAAAGTCGAGACTTTCATTAAATTTTTACCCTAAAAGTCTATAAAATTATATATATGCCTACTATCATTCACCTCTTTTTTTCAATTATGAAAATTGACCCCTCCTAGATCTAATTAAATAGGAGTGGACGTTCGGTCAGGACCGAAAGTTCGGTCCGATTTGTTTAATATTTTAAAAGTTCGGTCTTTCAAATCTACAAACCGAATTTATGTGACCGGAGGTTCGGTTAACCAAAACTTCCCAATCCGTTGTTTCTATATAATTTAACATATATTTATTCATGTATTCCATAGCAAAAGGCACAGTATTGCGGGGCTGTCTGGTTCCCAGCCATTACTTGCCAATAAAAATTGCCACACGTTGTCTAAGGTGAGGTGATCAAATTCTTAGTCATAACTTACTAAGCCACACTTTTTTGAGTCGTTGACATGTGGGACCCAATTTATTAGAAGGGAATTTTGTCACAACTGTGGCTACAAACAAACACCTATTAAATTTGCCTAACCTTAGGTGTGACAAGCTGTGGCAAAGTGTGGTTTGCAACCAAACACACCCTATCTACAACTCATACTCATTACACATGTTTTACTCAATGGAAGGATGGATTAATGTGACATGTTTCTTGAGCTCCTAGACGGTATGATTTTTGAAAAAAAAACTTTTGATATTTGATTTTATTTAAAAAATATTTTAGTTCATTCGTTTGTATCGTTAAATAGTCATCACGAAATTATTCAAAAAAAATATAACTTTAGTGATTGCTGACATGTGCATTGCGTATGCTATTTATGCACTTGGTGAGCGCCTATCAACTTTCTATCCTTTTCTTGGTCCTTATAAGATGTTGCTATCACTAAGAATCATGATCAGGAAATTAAACTACATGAATGCTACATGAAGAAGTACTAGTACCAGGAAGTTAAAGAAAAAACGTGAATATAAAATCAAAACTCTTATAGATGTACAATTGAAATCACTTTAGCTGATTAATGCCAGTTTCTTTCTAGCCAAATAAAAAGTCAAAAATTCCATTAATTTTTCAATCTAAAAGTCTGTAAAACATTACTAACCGATGTAACCCGTAGGCCGTATATCACGTCGTACCGTATTGCCCATTACTATTAATAAAAACGATTATCTAATAATGTGATTTAGTAAGATAAGTAACACTCCGTATTAACAAAAGACAAATCTGACGAGCAGACAAATCATATTGCTAATTGCTGAATCAAGAGAAAAAAATATAACAGGTATGAAAATAGTGAAAATAAACCAAAAGCAGATACTTAGTTTCGATTTTGATATATAGTTGTCGATAAATTTCCTCCAAAAAAATTATCAAATGTAAATACAATAGAATTATAATGTAATTTTATTGCAACTACAATGCAACTTGTATGTAACTTTAACATAATTTTAAAATTTTAGATTTACTTCAAGATTTGTGCAAGTTTGGAAAAAAATCATAACGCGCACACAAGTGATGAGATTCGGTCTCGCGACCTCCATTTCACGAAAATAGCGTGTTATTGTGATTTTTTTTAAGTTGTATACAAATTAGTTATATGCAAATTCTAGCGTAGTTACACTCTGCTTGTACTATATTTACATCTATCACATTAATTTGATAAAGAAAATTATCGATAAATGTATAGCTATTTCCCTGTGGTTTTGATCCATGGTTTTCGTAGAAGAAATAACCACAAAAGCTTACGAATTCGAAAGCAAACCACCACCACCACCCCGGAAACTTAGACACACACACGCTCCCTGTCCCCCCTCCTCCCCACTCCCTTAATGGCCACCTCCTCCACCGCCGCGCGCTCCCCTGGCGGCGAGGTAAAACCAGCCACCTTTACTAACCGAATCAATTAGAGAACCGTATCAAATTTCAACATCGACATAATTCTCAACAGAGTTGTTAATAGTGAAATTTAGTAAGCCCGGAGTAATCATCGGCTTAGAGTTAACATCGGCTTCGAAGTCCTGAGATTAGCCGATGAGAGTTATCAAGTCGTCAGTTGTCGGATTCTTGCTATATTCGGTTAAGGAAATTAATCTACTAAAGGAAGCTTATCCAAAAAAGACCGAGTTCAAAGAGAATGCGGCATGGCAAGTTATCTATTAATTAGGAATAGTTTGTTAGTTTCCTTTTTATCTTTAGGAAAGTGTGTTCAGTGTCCTATAAGGACTTTATGTTTTCCTTTTATCTTTAGGAAAGTTTCTTTATTGTCCTACAAGGACTAGTATCTACCCATGGGTATAAATATGTACACCCGGGGTCATTGTAAACTAACACACGTTCAATAACAATCTCGGCGCATCGCCACCCTTTTACTTTCGTTTTGTTTTGACGAGTTCTTGCTTTCGGGTTGAGCTTCATCGGTTTCGATCTTCAACAAGAGGTAAAACTTGTTATGGCGGCTTGTGTTCTCGGGATTAGTGCTTCCATCTTTATGACACTCTAATCTTGTTTATGTAATTCGTCGAGTTATCATATATCCTACATAATCTCTGACAACATCGAAATCTAACCTACAATCGGCTAACATCTGTCAATAGAAGGCAGCCGATTAGGTTAAATACCGATGTTGACTTAGATTATATAGGATATCCACCACTCTATGACACATCCAACAGCTTGATTGTCTAGATATTGTCCTTCTTTTCATACTTATAGCTGCATCAGTTAAGTTTGATCTTATGAGTCGTGATTAGAATCTCAATCTCTAGCATGTTTCTTGGTTGCCGATTAGGGTAGTATCGGGGTTTCAGCCGATCTTACCTGATTTAACTACTTTTTATCCTATATACTTGATTGACATGTTAAATCTGCCATTTATGTTAAGATCTTACTGTATTTAAGTATATTAGGCTTTTGTTTAGTATATTCTACTTGCTTTAATATCTTAATATAGAGTGGTATCGGAGTATTAGCCGATACATGCTAGATCTATCTGATCAGCTATGCTATGAACGTATATAGTCTCATTATTAATATATATTTCGATCTAAGTGATTTATACTGTTTCGGCATGGCGACCGATCTAACCCAATCACTTGATTTAAGTATATATCGATATAAGGACTACATATTGTTAATATCTACAGCCGACTGAGTAGATTTAGTTCTTTCTTACTTATTCATGACTGCCGATCGATGCATATATGACATCGGCTCAATGATAAATGATATGTTATCGGCACCTAGCCGATCGGCTATCGTTTATGGATTTAACCACGGTTTCTTGTATTTGTTTCTTGTTGATTGCAGGATCAAATCAACTGGCACTCTCATACACCCGAAGGCGAGTTTTGGACCTGCACTGGAGTTAAGCAGATCTCCCAGGCCTCGTGTTTTACATCAACAAGAGTTTATTGCATTTTTAATCTCTAAGAGCAGGTAAAATAGCAGGCTATAAGCCAGCTGCAAATATATTTTAAGGAGATAAATGAGGAGAGAGAAGAGCAGCGGGCTACATATTTGTAGCCAGCTGTAGCACGGACTCCAAGACGCAGTGTGCGTATGACATGTGGGACCATGTATTAATAGTGTAGTATGTAACCATTGTATGAATGAGCTATTAGATTGGCTATAGATGAATTGGAGCTAGTAGTTGGCTATACTATTAAACATTTAAACTTGCTCTAAGACTCTGTTTAGATGAGACTAAAATTTTAAGTTTCTATCCCATCGAATGTTTGGACACTAATTATAAATATTAAATATAGACTATTAATAAAACCCATGCATAATCATGGACTAATTCACGAAACGAACCTATTGAGCCTAATTAATCCATGATTAGCCTATATGATGCTACAGTAAACATTTTCTAATTATGGATTAATTAGGCTTAAAAAATTTGTCTTGCAAATTAGCTTTCATTTATATGTAATTAGTTTTGTAAGTAGTCTATATTTAATACTTTAAATTAGTGTCTAGATAAAGGGACCAAAGTTAAGTCTCTGGGTCCAAACACCACCTAAGTAATGCTGATACGTGGGCCACCAGTCGGCAGTCATAGTAAAAAAAATAAAAAGGTGGTGTATAGTCGAGTATCTCCCCTCTTCCCCCTGGCGTAAAAGAAAAATCTCCCGTCTCGTCGTCGCCTCCGCTCCTTGCGCCATCTCGCGGCGCCGATCTCCTTCTGGCGAGCCGAGCAGAGCAGACCAGGGCAGGGGAGCGGAGGGGATCCTAGGTGAGCATCCACATCCTCTTCCTGATTCATCTCTCTCCCTCCCACCGGGAGTACTTCTGTCTGGAGTTTGCTCGCGTTCTTTAATCCTAGCTTCTCTTCTAGATCTGGAAGAAGCTCTTCTGTTAAGTTCTGAGCCTTTAACCTTAATACAAGTGACAGTTTGTGTTTGTTCAGTTGAATCCGCCCCTGATACATTTAGTACAAAAGAACTGTTTTGCATCATGAACTCATTGTCTTCCTTCCTTCCAACCAGTATGAACGATTCGGCTAGAACTCACTGTTGTCGGGATGTCAAGTGCGAGCTGTTTCCTTTTTGCAACTTTATTTATGTAGATTAGGATGCGTTTATGCATGCGGAATCTTGGACATGTCTAAGCAATTTCTTTACTTTCACGATAGGTGTTGCAGTTTCTTTTCTCGTGGACGGTCTAAAGGTGGTGAAGAGGCTGTACAGATCACGATCCCGCAAGTGAGGTTTGAGGATGATGAACTAAAGGGCTTGTCCGAGCTACTGCGGCAGGAGATCTGATAAAACCAGTCAAGAGGCGAGTCTCAGAGGTGCTAGGACGAGATGGATGAAGTTGCTGAGATTGCTGATGCTATGGGTACGGTTGGCATTGATAATGGGGCAAGCCGGAAGTTGTTGTCGAACGAGAGTTTAGAGGAGCGAGGAGAAGAGCATGATGTGCAGGCTGATGGGGCGCACTCGGGTGAGAGTGAGGTGATCAACCCCGCTGAGGAGGTGGGTGGAGAAGCCACCTCACAGCCAGAAGACGTAAAGCCGCGTGTTTCCAAGGTAAAGAGTTGACACATTTTGCAGTTGCTGAGGTCTTCTATGAAGGTTTTTGGTGACAGTTATGGTAATTTTGTGTTTTGTAGGGAAGCCAAAGTCATTCCCCTAAGGTTACTACCAAATCTCAGCGCCAGAGCCCACGAAGTGGAGATAAGAGTCAAGCTAGGAAAAACAGTCCCGGTTCTACTTATCCCAAGGCACCCATTGCACGAGTGTCTGACCCAGATTTGGTTGATAGCTCTTCATGCAATGATGGTGCTGATATTAAGAAAGTAAAGGTCTTTTCCATTATGTTGTATTATATAGTGCTGAAATGCTTAGATCCTGCTATGTGCAGTGTTAGGAGACATCTTTATGCCCAATAATTTAATATAACATGAAATTGCTTTTTTGATGTTTTGATCCAGAAGGCTGAAAAGAGCAGTTTCCGTCCAGTTGCCAGGGCGAGTCAATCACTGGAGGACTCAAAGTATGCTGTTTGTTTGTTGACAGTATTTTTGTGGCTTAGCTGTTTCTGTTTTCTCAAGAAAAAATAACTTGTTTGGTGATGGTCTACATATCCAATTAAGCTATTCTGCTTTAACCCATTGATTAAGAAAAAGCAGGGCTTTTTTTTTGAGTGAAAGCGACTAAGCAAGGGGGCCTTATGATTGTTGCATTTCTGATGTTCTGCCCCCTCAAATTATGCCAAAAGAATTTTCTTGCTTACTATTCTCTTATTTTTGCAACCATAAGCTTTTCCATCTTGTGAGACCTCAGTCAGTTTAAGCTTGTTTGAATACTCTTTGCTTATAGGCTTATTTTTTTTGTGAACCATTCTACCAACTACCAATTGAAGCTCATATTGATAGTGTTTCTTGCATTGACACATTCCTCATCAAACCCAGGGAAAAGAAGAAAACTCAGAAAACATCAAACCAATGTTCTGTCAAAAATGATGAAGAAGAGCCAAACTGTGAAAAAGTAAAGCCTCAAAGGGTTGGCAGCACTCCTGCGTACGGATTTGCATTCAAATGTGATGAGAGAGCTGAAAAAAGAAGAGAGGTAAACTTGTTACTAGATAACATTTGCACCGAATTTAGTCTCATACATATGGACATCATTCCTTTCCTTACACATTCTGCAATCAAATAGTTCTACTCAAAGCTTGAGGAGAAGATTCATGCACAGGAATTGGAGAAAAGCAACATGCAGGCGAAATCAAAGGTTCATACGTTATGTCTCTTTTCATGGAAATGAACAATCAATCAGTTGTAATATTCAAGTCAACCAGACATTTTCATAAAATCTTTGCATTGTTTGTTTCTTTATACCATGCAGGAAACAGAAGAAGCTGAACTCAAAAAGCTAAGGAAGAGTTTGAATTTTAGGGCAAATCCAATGCCCAGCTTTTATAAGGAACCACCTCCTCCCAAGGTTGAGTTGAAAAAGGTAATTCTCTCGCTTGAGATATACATGTAAGGAAAGGAAAATTTAAGATTATAGACCATTTACCTACTGATTCACAGTAGGACCTTTGGCAGTCTTCTTTTATTTTAGTTACACAATCTATACTTGCTAAAACCAGTTCCTGTGCTGCCTGTAGTTATATGTACAAGTACACAGCAGGGGCAGGCCTCCAACTCCAAAATTTAACTCCAGCTGGGTCTGGAGTGGAGTTGTGGAGCAGCCTGAACCATGCTCCACCTCCCTAGTTCATTTTCTTATAGCACTCCAGCCCACTCCGCTTCCTTTTGGGGTGCAGCTGAAACCAGCTCCAGCTCCAAGAGAGGTAGAGGTGGAGCTAGAGCTGGAGCTCTGCCAAACAGGCCCTACTTTCACACATTCACATATAGTCATGAATGGCTCTACATTGTTCAAAATTTTGGCTAACTTAATTACTTTAGGTAGCCAATTTCATGGCTGTTTCCTATAAGTAGCTAGCAAGCTGTTAACTTTTCATAGAGGTGATCAGTTCTGTTGATCAGCTGTTCAGGATATTTTATTTACTTGTATTATTATGTAGCTGTTGGCCCATCTATTGCTACGAATTTGAACTCAGTCATGTTTCTTTGATGAGTTAATTTTTAGATGGTTTCTTTGATGAGTTTGTTGCAAGTTTACCATCTGCAATTTGCTGATCTTTGAAAAAGATAAGTCCTTTCCTGAGAAAAAGACATCCATACCAACTTAAGTTAATTCTTGGCTTGCTCCCACCAGATGGTTGGTTCTTTGCTGAGCATTGGAACTTTTGCTTAGCAACATGTCAAATATTTATACTTACTAGAAAAAAATGCCCGTGCGTTGCAACGGGTGAAAGCTCTTTTAATCTTATTACTGTTATATGGTTTAGTTAAGGTGAAATTCACTGTGACAATTCGCTTGGATGCATTTTTTTTTTAAAAAATCATGAGCTGCGGTTAGGAGTCTGATCGTCTAAAATTAGCATGCGAGTTTTCTTAAAGAGATTTCTTATACAACTCTTCTTGGGTTTCCAAAAACGAACGAGCTTTAAAACCGACTTAAATACGGACATGTATTTCCAAAAACAAACAAACTTAAAAACCGGCTCATATATGGATGACGTACCAAAGTACCGGTAAAAACATCTTCAATTTTATAATAGTAGAGAGTAGAGATTTACATAATTTTTTTAATAAGACAAATAATCAAATTTAATGGTTAAAGTCATCTGCCTCAAAATATTTATGACAAGATGGAGTAATGTATATGTATATTATGCAATAGAGGAGAAGTGATTTAACTGGCTAGCGATCACATGTTTCCTGCATGATTGATTTGTGGGGTAGCTTTTGCAAGAGCAAAAATATCAGCTAGCAAAAGCAGGTCCAATTTTAATCGTTTAAATCCAAATATGTGGGACCACTGCAACGCTCGGTTTCTGGTTGAAAGTCGGAACCCCATCCGGTATCTTTGCTGCGACCCTGCTTTGGGACCGACATGAGTCGGACTCTGCACTGCTCGTGCAGCTTCACACGTCCAGGGCTCCAGGCTATGCTTCGCAGGGACATGTAAGACCAATAGAATTCGAAGACAGCTGACGGACGGAAGATTTTGAATGATTTAATTTTTATAATAGGTAAAAATATATAGGTAAAGATTAGGATAAGATACATCTAGAAAACATAAATGGATTCGGATGACGTACCAAAATCTTGACAAAAACATCTTCAATTTTTATAATAGTAGAGATGTGCATTTTCTGTTCTTCTGATAAATGATACTTATTTACCGTCATTCATTGCAGATCCCTACCACCAGAGCTAGATCACCAAAGCTTGGCCGCTCAAAGAACACAAGCTCAGTAAGCACTGAAGAAAGTACCGTTCCTTCAAGCCGCCCAGCTCGTCTGAGCCTGGATGAAAGGGCCTCCCAGAATGGTGTGAAGAAGGTGCCTGCTGCGAACACGGTGAGGAAGCCCCAACGGAAGTCTCTCCCCAAACTGCCATCAGAGCAAACAGTCACTGAACAGGTAGAAAACAACACGTCGGCTACAGATCCCGTTCGGGAGCTGATCCGTGCCCAAGTTACCCCGGATGATCAATTTGGTGGATAGAAAAGCTACCAATTTGAGCCGCCCAAAGAAACGCGCAAGTTATGCCTCAACTTCCTATATTTCATTCTCTGCTATTTCTGCTGTAAAACTGCTGGATATGCCACTACTATGTACTAAAATTAGTCCTCATCACCAGGAGTTTCGAAGAACGCAAGTAGCCCCTGTAATGTTTATCTTGTCAATTTTTGTTCTTGATACAAGAGAGGAGGAACCTACTGTTGTTATTTGTAGTTGGTAACAATTGCATATGACCATATCCTATTTCCTAGGCTAGAAGAACTTATTATTTCCATATGAATTACCCTGCCTTTTTCTCTTTAGCAAATAAGCAATAAACTTTGTGCATTCTATCTTGTTAAGTTGGTGTGGAACTTTGGCTTAAATGATTTCTGTTCTGGAAGGGAGATGAGAGCCTTGCAGTTGCTGATCTAGCTAGAACATACTTGGCTGTGGCTTATTTATTTCACAAGCGTTGCTGATACAGTGATACACATGTACAAGAAGTAAACAAGATCATCATGTAGGCTTTGCAGGCTCATTTTACAAGATCGACTACACCTTAGCTGCGTGGTGCTCTTCTCCAGATTCATTTTTACAGGTGGCCGGATTCAGCTGCGAGCCACGGCGAGGGTCGCCGGGCCGGCGAGCCGGCGACGTCGACGACGGCCGGTGCCTCGCCGGAGAGAGGCCGCCGTGATTCCTCCTCGGGTGTTCGTTGCTTCGTCTTCTTTACAGGCGGCGAGAGATCAAGAGCATCTGTTCACTCAAGACGCCGCTGTGATGGAAGGAGGCTGAGCTGCCCCCATGAACGGCGGCGGCGGCTGCTCGCCGCCGTGGTCGTCATCGTCTTCCTCGGCGTCCCAGAGGAAGCCGGCGTAGGAGCCGAGGACGTAGCTGCAGGAGAAGCGAGACATCATCAAGAAGGAATTGCCTGAGAAGGTGGCGGCGGCGCGTGGGCTCACCAGTCGTCGGGGGCGGCGTGGACGGCGCGGGTGAAGTAGGCGTCGGCGCGGTCGGCGTCGCGGGTGGTCTCCCAGACGAGGCCCGCGTAGAGCGCGAGGGCGTCGCCGTCGCCGGGGTTGGCGACGATGGCGCGCTCGCAGTACTCCTGCGCCCTCGCCGCGTCGCCCTCCACCTCCTTGAGGAACCTCGCGTAGTTGCCGAGCAGCAGCGGGTTCGCCGGGTCGGCCTGGATCATACGCCGGTAGTGCGCGTCGGCGTCGCGGCGGCCGCCGTCGCCCTTCCCCCCGCTGCCGCCGCCGCCGCCGTTGCACACCTTCCTCCCGCCGCCTCCTCCCCCGACGCCCTCCTCGACGACCGCCGCGTCGCCCTCCCTCCCCCTCCCCGTGTCCGCGTCCAGCCCGGTGCTCGTCAGCAGCCGCCGCAGCGGCACGGCCGCCCCGAGCACATCCTCCTCCTCCTCCTCCTCTTCTTCAACCTCCTCCTCGACGGAGATGGACGCCGACGAGGCCACGGACAGCGCCCGCGGCCGCGCACTCACCGCCGCCATCAGGTCCCCCTCGGACGTCGCGCGGCACAGCGGCGGGCCCCGCTGCCTCGCCGCCGCCGGCGACACGGGCACCACCACCACCACCGCCCCGACATGCTCCGCCGCCGACGCGCAGGCGGCGTGGCCGAGCAGCGGCGACGACGCGCTCCGCAGCAGCATCGCCTTCGCCCCGATCTCTCGTCTCCTCTCCTCTTGGCTTTCTTTGCCGCGCGAGAGAAATATCGCGAGCGAGTGCGAGTGAGCCACTGACAGGGTGGGGGGCGGGGGATATTTATAGGGCCCGCGCGGCCGTGGGTGATTGGACGTTTGGGCGCGCACGTGACGGCGGCCACGGTGGAGGGCGGGGAGTGGGCGTGATGGGGGTGGGGCCCACGGGGTGGTTGTCGGGTGGGCCCGGGAGGGGGAGGGGGACGGGGACGGGGACGGGGAGAGGAGTCGCGGAGCGACGGACGGACCATATGGGCCGGCCGCTACGCGACGGCCGACGCGGTGGGGCCGCGCGGGCCGAGCCCGACATCACTTCTTTTGTACCATTTCCACTGTCCCGTGTTAAACGTAGCAGTGGGTTTCAGTTATCAACGTTGGACCGTCGGTTTTGAAACAAAATTATAAATAATAATTTTATTGTTATTACATGATAAAACATGAATATTACTTTATACGTGTCTTAATTTTTAAATTTTTTTTAAATAAAACAGATGGTCAAATGTTGGACACGGAAACTTATGGCTACACGGAGGGAGTACTACGTATATCCGTCCTAAAATATACTATTAGTACGCATACCTTCGTTTCATTTTAAATGTAGTTATGGGTATCCGTGTCTAACGTTTGACCTAAAAATTTATGAAAAAATTAAAAAAATAGTCACACATAAAATATTATTTATGTTTTGTCATCTAATAACAATAAAAATATTGATCATAATTTTTTTTAAATAAGATGGACGGTTAAACGTTGGACATAATACAAACTACAATTTTTCTAGGACGAATGTAGAATTGGTTGGGACATTTTTAGTATTAGGAAAGTCGTCCAGAATCGTAGCATATAGGTTATTACTATATGATTAACAAGTACACATGAAACGAGAAAAGTTTTTACTATATGATTAATTACGTATTAATTATTACAATTCTTGAAAATGAGTTTATTTTATGCTTTAGAAAACTTGAATATATATATTTTTTAAAAAATAATACACCGTTTAGTACTCTGGAAAACATGTTAAAAACGAGAAAGCTGTCGGGCAAAAATGCTCAAACAAACATACCCTAAAAGAGACATATGGATGCCAGAGACAAATCTATATCCTCGTTAAATTCCTGAAAAAAAAGTCAAGAATAATATTTATAGGTTCTGAAAAACTTAAATTTTGATTAACGAAGTCATGAACATACACACACACGCTACTGTTATATATGAGTATTTCTGCAAGACTGAACTAACATATCTTGAGATTGACGAAGTTACCACGAACGTCTTGTTTTCGATGGATCTATCGCATATTACTGAAAGAATAATTAGCCATAAATACAAGCACCCGTATGAATGTGGATGAACTAGTTTCACCACAAGAAACCTAACCAGTTGAGTTAGGGCAAGGGCAATAAAAAAGACGACTGCTTACTCTAATATTTATACACGTCATTTGGAGGTAACTTAATAGATAATAAATATAATAGTTGTCTCTTCACATTTACTGCAGCACACATATCAATAATTATTTAATTACTTCTCTCTCACTCCTTCCCAGCTTTTCTCTTTCCTCCAAGCCAATCAGGGAAGATTATTCATGCTAATTTCTTGTTCCGTCGATGGTGCTGTCGATAGGAAGGCTCCAAGCCAGCGCTAGGTGCATTGGCGCCCGTGCATGATCGTCGACAGATTAATCGACGATGTTTCTCTCTCTTGGTACTCTCTCTCCGCCACGTAGGTATAAAATCCAACGTAAGCTTACTATTAACCGGTAATTTCAAGTTATTGTACTTGCCCTTACACTCACTTCGTGTTGGGTAGTTTGGTTTGATTGCAATCGGAGTGAGTGCAACAATTCACAGCTTGCTGGGTGTAATGTGTGTACGGTGTGCAATCAGGGGGGCTGTGTGGAGTAGAACCAAAGTCCAAGTTGTGTTGAGAGAGAACTGAATGGAACAGACAAATTAAGAGATGGGGGTGCAGGATCTTCTCGCCAAACTGAACATTGGATGGTCCGATTTTATCACGGAATTTGTGCAAAGCTATTGCCAATTACAGTGCATTATTTTGTGAAGGGACTGATGAAGAAAATGATTGTATGTTGTCTACACGTTGAAACATTTAAAGAGTAAAAAAGGAGAGTTCGGCATGACCGTGGACATGATTAAGAACCACACCCTGCACCCTGCAGAGAATGACAAGCTTGTCAACACCGTATCATGACATGACCAGTTGCAAAAGAGAAAATGATTTTTTTTTACGGTTGAAAGACAAAATGAAAACCACTCAAAACCTATACGACAAAAGGCATTACACACAATTTCCTTTCTATTGGGTGAAGAAAATTGGTATAACTAAAGGAACAATCTATATGATGTGGTGTAACTATAGAGATATATAAGTGGGCCGACCCGTGAGTCTACTTATATGTCAAATAAGAAGTAACACTCAAGTTTTTACGTCATGGTCCTAGCTTATTGCACCTAAAGATGTAGGTGGGTAGATACATAAATCTATTTATAGGTCAAATTACCCACAAATGGATTCGCGGGTTACCCACTAATTTTACATGCGGATTCGTGGGTTGGTCCACTTGCAACCATAGACGTAACTAGTGGAGTTGTAAGTACATGACTCCACACACACTAATTCAAGTTAGAAGAATATAATGCATATATGATTGCACTTTCAATAAAACTTAGCGAGACTAAGGACTAGCTTTTAATACGAATTTGTTGAGATAAAGGTTTACCGATGGTGTTCGTCTCTTCGAACGTATTGCCGTGTTGGTTTTTCCCTGTTTGGGTATGTGTTGGTGGCATATTTTACATGTATGTGCTAATGTGCATGTAGTATGAGCACACAGTACGGTGCGTGCGCGCATGACAGCCATCGTTTCACTTATACTGATTATATACATAAAGGCTTATCAGCAACCAACATATACTTTGTTAATAGAACTTCTATATACATATGTATAGCAATTTAAAGCAAATGCTGGAAATAAAATACGATAAAAGCCCTAAAATCAACTCTAAAATCAAAATTTAAAACTAATTTTTTATTCGGTTCATAACCGTCTTAGGATAAACGATAGGTGTATGTCATGTGTAATCGAAAGAGAATGGTGCAAAGGAAATCAATGAAAATGATGATAGAGTTATGGGTGTTACCCATCACCAAAGATTAAGGGCCCCTTTGAATCGTAGGAATGAAAAAATGGAGGAATAGGAAAAAGTAACGTAGGATTCTAACAGGAATGTAAATGAAAAACAGAGGATTGCAGAACGCAGGAAAAACACAGGAATGACCGTTTGATTGAACCGCAGGAAAAACACATGAATGGAATGAGAGAGATAGACTCAAAGGAATGTTTCCAAGTGGTTGGAGCTCTTGCTAAATTTCCTCCAAAATCTCTATAGGATTGCCCATTCCATAGGAATTTTAAAGGATATGATAGGATTCAATTCTTTATTTCAAAGGGCTTCATAGGAAATTTTCCTATATGTTTCAAATCCTCTAAAAATCTTATGTTTTTACTTCAAATCAAAGGGGCCCTAAATTCTGCTGTCCATGAATACATGTTTTGAATATGATTTCAGTAGGGCATGTGTAGTGCTTTGTGCATGATGAAAAAAAAAAGGAAAGAAGAGAAAGATAGTGATACAAAGCTTTCACCATCTGGAAAAAAGAGTGGTACAGCTGGGCCTGGCCGCCTCCCCACCTCACAAGTAATTCTGCCGCGGTAAAGATCTGTTTCCCCCACCGCCTGCGTGCCGTAGCGTGCGTTGCCGCTACGAAAGTCCCCGCGAGAATGCAAAGATATCGCGAGGGGAGAGAGAGAAAGAGACGAGCCAGAAGCCCAGAATTACGGCACGCATCGGCCGAAACTACGGGCGCCGTCGTCACCGGCCGGCACACAATTAAAGTCGTCAAAAATATCCCCGCTAACTCCGGTCGGTCGAACCGGCCGGCCGGCTGGCCGGCAGCGTCGCCGGCGACCGGCCGTACGTGTGCAGCCGTTGTTGTGTCGCGTCAGTCTCACGTGGTACTACCTGCTCTTCCTTCCAGTATCTTACTCCGTACTCCCTTAAAAACTCAACCTGGGATATTAGGACAATAAATCTGAAGACTCGTGTTGATATTCGTTGCCAAAGAATACATCACATTCTATTTTAGATTAAGCTTTTGTGGGACGGATGAAGTATGCGTAAAGCTGAGCAAGCAAAACAATTGAACAGATTGCTCGACGAGGACATTCGCGTGATCCACGGAATCGTGAAGAGAATGACCGCTTATGTCTATCACGGCTGGCATGAACCGCGTTCTAACGTATAACAACCTACTTTATTTGAAAAAACAAATTCAATTCTGATGATGAGTTTGAGGAGTTAAAAAAGCTTGAGGCTCGCAAGCAGCTCAAGCTTGACTTGTCCCAGCTCGATTCGAGCTCGACTCGAGCTACAAATGAGCCGAACCAGAGCCTAAGCAAAAACTCGCGAGCTTTACCGAACCGAGCTCGAACCTCTACTAAGCAAATGTGTATAGTTCAAAATGTTTATTCGCTTTATTGATTTAATAAACTAATATATCATATATATTAGTATCTATTTACACAGCAAATTAGCATGTGTTAGCGTAATATATTTATCTTAGTCATTTTCTACTCTTTTATTAGTGCGATCAAATAGAAATAATTATACTTATAAAAAATTTATCATTAATATATATATTATATTATTAATGGCTGAGGTCGAGCTCGAACCGAGCTTGCCTAAAAGCTCAAAGGTGTAATAGGCTTGGCTAAAGCTTGTGTCGAGCTCGGCTTGTTGACAGCCCTAGTTGCCACCAGCTGCCAGAGCCAAATAACTCTTGTTTTGCACGTTTCGATGTCTCCTTCGTCTTCTTCGGAGCCGTGCTGCTCGGCGCCAACAACGATTTCGTCTTCACGAATTGTTACCCCGCTAGGTAGGGCTCCCTCCATGGATGGAATGAGGTGCACCGCAACTGGCCGAGGTTCTAGGACTAGCTCCGTGGTGATGGCGGTGACCGCTCCTCTCTGTCGTCCCCTCGCCTTTTTCTATGGCTACCAACCGTTGATCTGCCATCATCGCCAGCGCGGCAAGCTCTAGGCGAGTCAGAGTCAGCGCCTCCCCGTGCAGTGGCTCCCTCTCCCTGTTGTTGTCGCCTATCTCCACTACCTTCTCAACATGGTTCCCCCCGCTCTCCTTGCTGGGGCTGGGACTTCTCCCTTTCCTTTGCAGGAGCCGATGGAGCCATCGGAAGGGGAGGAGGGAGGGATAGAAGAGGGGAGGAGAGTGAGGGGAGAGAAGAGGAAGAAGGTGAGATGAAGAGGAAGTCGCTGATATGTGGATCTCACCTGTTGACTCAACGAGTCAATCGTGATCAACCTATCATGTCTGCAAAACCCACTTTCTAAAATCATCGGATCAGTCAATTTGTATTGGATTTGAAAGACGGGAGATGTGTTATATGGATGCAATTCAATGAGGAGGAGATCAGAGAGATAAAAATAGAATGGAATAAGTTCATCTAGGGTTCCTTAACTTGTCAACAAATCCGATTTTCGTCCCTCAATCGAAAAACTAGACACAACGGGTCCCTCAACTATCAAAACCGGTGCAGATGAGGTCCCTTGGCGGTTTTGAGGGTGGTTTTGGCTGACGTGGCTAATTTGACTCGATCTTCATCTTACATGGCACTGACATGACGCTTAAGTGGCAATTTGATCCGAAAAAATAATAAAACCAGTGGGAACTACATGTCAGTTCCACACACAAAATAATAAAAAAAGAGGGCCCACATATCATTCTCACCCCTCTTCTTCCTCTTCTCTCCCCTTCTCCCTCTCCATCTCTCTCCCCTATCCTCTCTCTAGGCGCGACGGAGAGGCAGTGGCGCACGGCGGCCGGCGGGAGAGGAGGGAGCGGCACGGCGGCGGAGGCATGGCTCCGGCGGCTGTGGGCGGAAGAGGAAGGGGATGTGGAGCTTCTTTTCTCTCTCTCGGTCTCTCCCCTCTCCACGCCATTGATCTCTCCCTCTCCTACTTACCGCAGCCATGGCGGAGGACGCCCCAGCAACGTCGCTGCCGCCGCCGCCGAGGGGAGCCAGCACGCGTCGGCTGTCGCGGAGGGAGGCTCCGCCGCCGCTCCCGCGGCACTAGCCACCAAGGCCGCGGAGGCGCTGCTCCCGTCGCTCAGCATCTGGCCGCTGTCGCAGACATTGATTTGATTCCAAGATTTTTTTTTTTGAGCAAGGGTCAAGACCCCCATTTCTTTTACTAGAAATGATCATACCAGTACAGGTTCAGCCAAAAGCGGCAAGCGATTTGATTCGAAGATAGTATCAGCTTAGCTAGCAGTGGCTAGCTAGCCATGAGTAGTAGTGGCAAGGAGAAGAAGCAGATGGACCGGTTCATCGTGATCCCCTTCTCCTCCACCTGCCAAATGCTCCAGCGTGGACGTCGTTGATGACAGCGGCAAGAGCGGCAAGAAGCCCCAAGGTTCGTCGTTTGGAGTCTTGGATGCTTGTTCTTCACTTCTGCTCGATCTTGTCGATTGGTTTTTGCGGGGTGATTTAGGAGTTTGGTGTTAGTGATGCTGTGTGCGTGTCTAGGCGGCGGCAGTGGCGAGGGCGGCGGCGCGGCGGAGAACAAACCCAAGGGGGAGTCGCTGGTGGCGAGGCTTCTCCACCACTGCCAGCACATGGCGCACATCGGCTGGGACGGCAGCACCAGCACCACCACCAGCCTCCGCTCCTGGAACCACGCCGCGCCGCCGTACGTCGTCGTCCTCCTCCTCCACCACCGCGTCCACCTCGTTAGCCTTGGCGGCGCCGGCGACATCAAGAAGGAGTCGGCACCGACGGGGCCTGGGTTGTGCAGCTCCTGTCCTGCCGTCTGTCGTAGCCAGGGCCAACTCCGGCCGTCCCTTCCTCTTCCGCCCACAGCTGCCGGAGCCGTGCCTCCGCCGCCGCGCCGCTCCCTCCTCTCCCGTCGGCCGCCGTGCGCCGCTGCCTCTCCGTCGCGCCTGGAGAGGGGATAGGGGAGAGAGATGAAGAGAGGGAGATAGAGGGAGAGGAGGAAGAAGAGGGGGTGACAATGACAATGACATGTGGGGCCCACCATTTTTTTTATTAATTTATGTGTGAAACTGACATGTGGATCCCACGGGTTTATTATTTTCTCGGGTCGAATTGCCACGTAAGCACCACGTCAGATGAAGACCGAGTCAAATTAGCCACGTAGGCATCATGTCAGCCAAAACCACCCTCAAAACCGCCGAGGGACCTCATTTGCACTGGTTTTGATAGTTGAGGGATCCGTTGTGTCTGGTTTTCCGGTTGAGGGACGAAAATCGGATTCGTTGACAAGTTAAGAGACCTCAGACGAACTTATTCCAAATACAATTATTCGTTAAAAATGTCCTGGGCCTATATGGGCCTAGAATATGCTTGTGCTTTGAAAATATGGGCCTACAATATGCTTGTGCATTGCAAGGCCTACAGATCGTTGCCGTTAAGCCCATGAGTTCAATCGGCTGAAGAAAACTCGAATGCAACTAGAATCCTTAAATGACCCAGCATCCATTTTGAGCGTTGTTGCTGTAGGTTTTTTAAAGTAAATTTCATAAAACCCTATATATTAATCTATTATTATATGGTTCAAGTTACACAGAATAGAACTTTTAACATGTGACACATAGTCTTAGGTATTATGGTTTGATGAAATCATAATCATGATCATTTTGACTTTGATCTACCACATTCTTAAGTTTTACAATCACATTTTAAACTTATATTACAACCACTTTGTTAAATTTTGATATAGGAGTGTTAAATTTTGATATAGGAGTAAGCCAAAATGGTTAGTGGTGTGATTTTTGTTAAACTTTAGGATCATAATACCCAGGGTTATGAACCACGTGTCTAAATCCATATGGTTTTGTATAACTTGAACCACAACAGACCATAATACTCCCTCCGTCCCATATTATAAGGGATTTTAAGTGGATGTGACTCATTCTGGTAGTGTTCAGATTCGTAGTACTAGGATAAGTCATATCCACCTAGAATCCCTTATAATATGGTGCAGATGGAGTAGGTAGGATTTTATAAAATTTAATTATTGTTTTCCTTGAAAATATGTAGCCAGTTGTGATATTTCTTCATATAAGCATGTATGAGCTTATATGGGTGGGCAGAAGATCTCGAGGGTTGTATTTAAGATTTACACTATAACATTTAAAAATAAAGGATTTATTTTATTGCACTGATTTTGTTCTAGTTCAACAATTTGCCATCGGTTTTATCTCCCTGTATAATATGTCATTGAGTTTATCAAATTTTTTTTTACAATATGTCACTGGGGTGGATACTTTAAAAAATAAATCTCAAAATGTCCTTCAAGTTACAAGAGGTTATAATTAATTGACCTACTAGAAGTTTCAAGAAAATGAAAATTTTTACGTAACCTCCTTACATAATATAGAAATGTGTGTATATTTGAAAATTTTCATTTTGCATGTATTAACTTTTAAAAAGAATATATAATTTATGTTTTGTATGCTAATACAATACTCTTATGTTAATGTTCTTTTATGTACATCATCATTAAATGCTATACATTATTTTTCTGATGCAGCTATATGTTGTGTATTTGATTCCTCTTTTATATGCTACATAAAAATAGTTTCTTTAAACGAAACATGAAAGAAAATTTTACACACAAACTTCTATATTTTGTAAGAAGGTTAAGCACACAAAAACTACCTTTTTTTGAAAACTTTTTAGTGGTTCAAACAATTGTCAATTCTTGTATGACTTGAAGGACATTTTAGTCATTTCTTAAAATTATCTACCACCCAAATGTCATGTTGTAAAAAAAACCAACAAAGTTCATGGGATATTACATAGGGAGACAAAATCGATGATAAATCGTTGAAGTAGGATAAATTCAGTGGCTTAAAATAGATTTTATCTTAAAAATATATATTTTGTGTCATTTATAAAAAGGATGATGTATTTGTTGAAAATATCAGAAAAAATAAAATGAAGCATATGGAAACGAACCCAACAGCTGTTGAATAGGTGCAAAACCTATAACCAGCGCAATTGGGCAATTAGTATATTTTTACGCTTAGATTTTGGATAGCTACTTCCAAAAGAAAATATGGACATAAAAGAATGGGGCGTTAATTGATTACATTTTAGTCACATCACGCTCAAAGCCCCGGCCCAAACAAAGAAATTTTCCGTTGATTAAACATACTGTACTCTATAAAACCGGATGTTAGGCTTGATTAGTCCCTGGCCTTCCATTTAATCCCCAAAACCTTCACGTCACCCTTGCCTGTAAAACGCTTAATGAATCATATCCTTTTGTTAATCAAGCTGATCGAGAGATGGGACATGGAAGACATGCACGCATGAGCTAGACTCCTAGAGCTATTAATAATTTTGTTTTGGTTTACTACCTCTTGTTCCATATTAATTGATGTTTTAAACAAGATTAAGGTCAAACTTTTATAACTTTAACCATCAATAACTTTAAAAATATTTAGTTTAAAGGAACTAGAACAACATATATATATATATATATATATATATATATATATATATATATATATATATATATATATATATGTCTTTTAAAGCATGCATTTATTTATTATATATATTATAATAGAAAAATAATGTCAAAGATATATCTTGTAGACCATATCATTGTCTAAAACGTCAATTAAAATGAAACCGAAGGGAGTAATTTGTGCTAATTCATCTCAGCCACACGTGCATTGATTGTACAAGTCATCACAGCCGACCATGATGTCATCGGATGTTCGGTAGTATTCCCTCTCTCTATAGTAGTATAACCATGTTAACACGGTTATCATGGGATATAAAAACTTGTCAACTTTTTGGATTATGATAAAGACAAGAGATGGTAAGTGTAGTATATGTATAGTTAATTTAGTGGGAAGTCACCTTTTATAATTACTATATTGTTATATTTGTCATAAATTTTGAATTTGAAGTAGTTGTTACCTCCGTTAGAATAATTGTATTTCTAATATTTAAATTTTGTAAAAAGAATATTTCTAATGAGACAAGACCTAACAAATTAATTTTATGAAGATATATATGCTGTCGCCTAGCCTCCCATCTCTCTATCCAAATCTCCTAGCCCTCATTTTAATCAAGTTTTACATATAAAAAGTATGCATGCGGTGTGGATATTAAATAGGGTTATTATAGTCATTTGTGTGTTGCTAATCTGTCTCTAATTTTTTTAAATATAATTATTTTGAGACGTATGTAGTATATATATTTTAGGACGAGGGAATGCATTATTTTTGACTCAAGATGATCCTTTCTGAGTAGGGCTGTGTTTAGATTCAAACTTTTTTTCTTCAAACTTTAAACTTTTCTGTCACATTAAATGTTTGGACACATGCATGGAGCATTAAATGTGGACGAAAAAAAACAATTGCATAGTTTGCATGTAAATCGTGAGACGAATCTTTTGAGCCTAATTACGCCATGATTTGATAAAGTGGTGCTAAAGTAAACATTTGCTAATGACAAATTAATTAGGCTTAATAGATTCGTCTCACAGTTTACAGGCGAAATCTATAATTTATTTTGTTATTAGTCTAGTTTAATATTTTAAATGTGTGTCCGTATACTTAAAATTTTTTTGGCACACTGCTTGCCCGACAGCAAGGTACCTGTCAGCTTTTGCAATGGTTGGTTCAGGTCTCTCAGGTTCAGCTTTTGAATTGATAGTGGCAAGACCATGTAAGACACTGGGAGTTCTTCTTTTTTGCACTGTAGCTGTCTTGCAATTTTATCGTTTCTCCACTAGGCTTGTGTGAAGAGTTATCATGGTGCTTTTGGAGAAGTTTAAATGTAGTCCTGTAGCATATGCGAAAAGCTCCAGTCCTTTCTTTAGGACGCTAGCATCTCTTTCCGTTGCACGGCAGATGATAAATGATAAGGGTGTCATCAGCATACTGTATGGTGGCACAGGACTGCTGTGGTAGATTGCTTGAATTCTTCATTTTGTCTCATGAGTTGTTGCAGCACATTAGAAACTAAAATGAACAAGCAGGGAGAGATGGAGTCCTTTTGGCGCAACTGAATTTTTTACAATTTGATCCTTTTAAAAAACTTATTTCGCAGATAGACCCCTAAAAAAATTATCCCAAAATTAAAAATGGCGTGGAGGGGGGGGGGGGGCAGCTCCAGCCACATTGGCGTGCTCCCCCTGCCACCTTAGCGCCGCCCTGCTACGGTGGCAGGAGGACGGCGCTTCTCGTTGGACGACGACGCCAGTGCCTTTGGCATTCCAAAAAGGCATTTCTAGAATAAGTTTTTTCAGGAGTTTATTTATGAAATAAGTTTTTCAAAAGGAACAAATTGTGAAAAATCCGGCTTGGCGCAGGCCCTTCTTGCGGTTAATCCATTTTTCCATGTATTCCATTTAGGAGGTACTGCTGATTTTGATGTCTGCAGTATGTTTGCAATCCAAGTTTGCCAAATTTGTGGGATGCCGTGAGCTTTAAGGATCAATTGAAGCTGTCCCAACATCTTTTGTCCTAGCAGGTTTGTAGTAGCTCAGTGGCATAGATGAAGTTTTCAGAGATATTTCTTCCTTTGATAAAGCCCAATTGATCTTGATGAATCGGGTTGGAATGATGCTTTTGGAACCCCTGTTAGCCAAAATGCATGCAATCTTGAATCTATCAGATAGCTACTTTCTTTTCTGAAACTTAATTACCTTTTCAAATAGCCACCCTGTAGTACAGAAAATTCCAATGATAGACGGAAAACTTTTAATTTCATCCATTATTTCCCTAGCTATCAACGTATAGACGGCCGGGTAAGGTCGTTCATGCAGTTTACAAGACTCCTATACGTAGATCCAATTCGATCTTATCCATATATTTGTGACTCAGATGAATAGTCGTTTGTCAATTTGAATTTATAGAAAACTTTAGATACATATCATATCACTATCACATATCGAACTATTTCTCAGAGCACATGCTACACACATGCACATTTAATGGATAAGATATGTTCACTTCATACTCTACAAGGTCCTTTGTTTGTGCACATTGCAGGGAGATATCTCTACTGTCTTAAAAGCAC